AATGAGGGAGGGGGGAAGGGGGTTATTAGGCAATAAGGGAGGGGGAGGGGTGGCAGGCAGTGAAGGAGAGGGGTGGTGTGCAGTGAGGTAGAGGGTGTGGTGGGCAGTGAGAGATAGTGGGTGAGGGTGGTGGGTACTGAGGGTTATATATTGAGGCTCGTCGTCAGGTGTGGGTGGTGGGCGCTCACCGTATCTTCATCGTCACTGCCCGTCATTTGTACGCCCTCGTCGTCTCGTCGTTTGTACACGCTCGTTGTCGTCGTTTGTCCGCCCTCCTCCTCCTCCTCGTGCGTCGTTTGTATGCCCTGGTCATCCGTCATCCGTTCGCCGTTGTCGTCCTTTGTCGTCGTCATCCTTCGTCGTTGTCGTCCATCTTTCGCCCGTCAGTGTCCTCGTCACACCGTTGATTGGCGTCTGTCCTGCCTGGCGTTGTTTCGCGTCGTGACGTGGCCGCTGACGGGCGGCATACCCCTTCCTTTGAGTAGGGGTGGCATGGTGACGTTGGGTGTGGTATTCGTCAAGGGCTGGATGGTGGAGATGTGGTGAGATATGTAATAAAGGGGGAGGGGGCTTACCGTGTTGCGACGACTGGTGGCTACCACTTTTATCATATAAAACAGGTAACTGCCTATAGGTCCCTGTGTATCCATCCACACTCTTTATGATAGGGAATCATTACTGTTACCATGTTTTTTCATTATCATAAAGGCTGCGCTTTTTCATTAAGTGTAGGCAAGGTTTTGGGCCTCCCTCATAAGGTAGCCTGTGGTTATCATTACCAATTTCATATCTTTTCAAAGCCATATCATTGCGATTTTCATTAGTTGTCTGGCGAGTATCATTGGATATTTCATTAGCTACATGGGTGATATCATTTTGCGATTTTCAATGGTTACTTTGGCAATATCATTGGAAATTTCATAAGCTACTTGGGCAATATCATTGCGATTTTCATAAATTATGTGGGCAATATCATTGTGATTTTCATTAGCTACTTGGGCAATATCATTGGCAATTTCATTAGCTACTTCGGCGAAATCATTGCAATTTTCATTAGCTACTTGAGCAATATCATTGTGATTTTCATTAGCTCCTTTGGCAATATCATTGGAAATTTTATTAGTTGCTTGGGCAATATCATTGTGATTTTCATTAGCTACTTGGGCAATATCATTGTGATTTTCATTAGCTACTTGGGCAATATCATTGCGATTTTCATTAGCTCCTTTGGCATTATCATTGGAAATTATATTAGTTACTTGGGCAATATCATTGTGATTTTCATTAGCTACTTGGGCAATATCATTGGCAATTTCATTAGCTACTTGGGCGAAATCATTGCAATTTTCATTAGCTACTTGGGCAATATCATTGCGATTTTCATTAGCTCCTTTGGCAATATCATTGGAAATTTTATTAGTTGCTTGGGCAATATCATTGTGATTTTCATTAGCTACTTGGGCAATATCATTGTGATTTTCATTAGCTACTTGGGCAATATCATTGTGATTTTCATTAGCTACTTGGGCAATATCATTGCGATTTTCATTACCTCCTTTGGCATTATCATTGGAAATTATATTAGTTACTTGGGCAATATCATTGTGATTTTCATTAGCTACTTGGGCAATATCATTGGCAATTTCATTAGCTACTTGGGCGACATCATTGTGATTTTCATTAGCTACTTGGGCAATATCATTGCGATTTTCATTGGCTCCTTTGGCAATATCATTGGAAATTTCATTGGCTACTTGGGCAACATCATTGCGATTTTCATTAGCTACTTGGGCAATATTATTGGTGATTTTTAGTAATCAGGAGAGTGGTCACATGACCAAACTCCAAAAGGGGTCAAAAAACAAAAGTTGTAGCCCTGCACTGTAGCTTCCCAAATCTGTTTGAATTATGTTCTGAAGTGCTCCTGTTGTGGAGATACACTTCAGTCACCCACTGACAACTGACTGTTAGTCTTGCAAACTCCATGAATACTACGGGACTAAATGTCAGGGTGTATATCTATATTGTATATATTCTGGGGCTTGTATATCTCCACTTTTACCTAAATATATTTTGTTGTCCAATGTCACACTAAATATATTTCTAGTGTGTCACACACCCCAAAATATATTTCCTCACTGGAATGGACTCCAAATATATTTCTTATGCCTGGACCCTGAATTGTGACTGTCACAATGTAGAAATATATTTCTTGTCTGGGATGGACTTGGGATATATTTTGCAGCTAGGGTTGACTAAGGATATATATTTTCACCCACAAGGGGTGTCTGGGGTCCTATATTTAAGAGAAAAACTTGGGATTTTTTTTAATATAGGGGATAGGGGATTTACCTATTATTTAGTAGGCAGAATACCCTCATTGGGATGTTTGTTGACAGATATTTACCAATAGCTTTGACCCATGTGTAGTATATGCATTGATGTGTGCACTATTTCCTAATTGGGAAAATCATTACACTTTTTTCTGCCACACCTGATGTCAGGCACAGTGCACATTTAGGTTGGGAACTGTTTCCCATGCTTTTTGGGCCAGAAGAATTAATGGCTAGCATGGTGTGGTCATTGTTAATGATGATGTGTGCACTATTTCCTAATTGGGCCATTTCCTAATTAAGAAAAGTGTTACACTTTTTTCTGACACACCTGATGTCAGGCACAGTGCGCATTTAGGTTGGGAACTGTTTCCCACGCTATTTGGGCCAGAAGAGTTAATGGCTAGCATGGTGTGGTCATTGTTAATGATGATGTGCACACTATTTCCTAATTGGGCCATTTCCTAATTAAGAAAAGTATTACACTTTTTCAGACACACCTGATGTCAGGCATAGTGCACATTTAGGTTGGGAACTGTTTCCCACGCTTTTTGGGCCAGAAGAGTTAATGGCTAGCAGGGTGTTGTCATTGTTAATGACAATGTCTGCATATTTCCCAATTGGGAAAGT